TGTTTTAAAATGTGTATTGCAGGAAGTGTGGAAGGTAAAGGAAAAGAAAAGATTTAGTGCTTTTCTTTCGTGCATTTTGGTTGAAGATTTGCTTTTGATGCATAGCTCTGATGATTAGTACAAGATTGTATTTTGAATTTTTGGACCTTGTGTTTGGTCATAGTAGATTTCTTGTACTAGTGGACCCGAATGTATATGAATATGTATTTCTTTGGTATGAAATATGTATTACATACAATGTGTGGGTTGGGGCGTTACACACATCATTGAATTCATTTTCAAATTATTTTATTATAGTTATTAGATTGATCTGCATTAGATACAAATCGCACTGTATCTCCAGTGTGTGCGTGTGTGTGTTTTGCTTTTTTTCCCATTTGGCCGTAAACCGGACCAAACCACACCACGAACATCCTATGTGTGACGGGTTATTTATTTTTTTTTTTTTTAATTACCAAGCTATTTAGAGGATGAATTGAGAGGAGGCCACCAAAGGGGGTTTTAAGAGCACGTTTTGAAAAAAGTTACTAAAGATAGTCTTTAGAAACGTTTTACAAATACGTTACTAAAGGTACGTCTAGAATTAAAAATGAAACTTATAGTAACGCTTTACGACTGTCGTTAATGTTCAAAAAACATCAGTAATGTGTCTTTGTTGGGAATTTGAACAACTTTTAGAGAAGCTTTACAAACGTTATTGAAGGTAAAAAAAACGTATTTAAGAGTTGAGTTTAGTACGTCATTTGAAGGCGTCAGTAAAACCTCTATCTACCGTAACATGTGTCCGGACTGAAAAACGTATCTGAAACTAGAAGCTTTTCAGACGTTTTAATACATAAGATTTCTTTTGAAAGGTCAGTTTTTGGTTGTATGTTTGACAATTTGTAGATATCTAGGATACCATTGGTTAATCCAGATAAAGGAATCTTGTAAAATCCGAATAATATACCATCAATTTATTTGTAACTAGACCTATTCATCCGTTGACATTCATTGGATGTGAGGGAACCGAACCAATCTAATCATTCATTGGATTTTAGATTTTGCCAACTGATCTGATCCAATTAACGTTGGATAACCGATATGATCCAATCCAATAGATGATTAGATCGGTTCGATTTCATCAATTGGATACTTTTATTGGATATCCATCGGATCCATCAAATGTGTTAATTCAATTCAATTCTCTAACAATGAAATAAATTAAGTAATCACTTTTAATATGTATTAAAACCAACACAAGAAAGTACCAGGAGGTTACATGTTCAAATCCAAGGAGAAATAAAAACCCCCTTGTGGCTACGGAGGTTCAAATGCAGTGACTCCGGGCTATCTGCAAAGCAGGTGGTCACCCTGAGATTAGTCGGCTCGCATAGCGGATTGGATATCCAGGTTAATCAAAAAAAAAAAAACCAACACAAGAGAAGTTAAAAATTCAAAGACTCACATAAAATAAATTCTGATTTAAGCAATTTGAAAATAAATTAGTTGGATGATGGTTGAATTGACAACTGGATGGTCATCAAATGATTAATTGGATATTGATCGGTTCCGTTCGCTTCGGTTTTGGTTGGTTCTAGACTATCAAAAACCGACCGATTCAAATTGGATGTTGAAATTTTCAATCCGATCCTATCCAATTACAATTGGATATCCAATTATGGTCGGTCGGTTCTAACTGAATCAGTCGGTTCCAATTGGATCGGTTGATTTTCTGCACATCCCTATTTGTAACGATTATAATAACTACCAAACAACTTTTAACTTAAAATCCATCAAATATGGCTGTCATAAAACACAAATACAAACAAACAAACAAACAAAGGTACAACTTTGGTCTCTTCGAGATCATCGTAGTCATACTTCAAGATTTTTGGACACACCCACAATTCAGAAAACCTTATAAGCCTTCACACAAAGACCACCCCAGAACACACCATCCAGTGTGTGTTTTTTTCTTGCTAGAAATGGGATTTTACAAGTGTTTTCTAATTGGCATTTTATGGGTTTTGGTGTTGGGTAATGAAGGGTTCTTCTTGCCCTCTAATGGAGGGATTACAAGCTCCTTTGTTAGGAATGAAGAAAAAAGCATTGACATGCCTTTTGATAGTGATGTATTTAAGGTTCCTCAAGGCTACAATGCCCCTCAACAGGTGAGATACTATTGATTTTTTTTAATCATGGGTTTTCGGGGCAGCTTACATGTACCGACTAATCATTTGGGGACCATGAATGGTCTGGAGTTATCACATGTGAAACTCCATGGCCACAAAGGGTTTTGGTGGTGCCTGGATACGAACCTAGGAAAGATGGGATTTCCACTGCATCCCCTGAGTCTTGAACGGTGTGTCACAACCCAAGTGGTTTATACTACCGCCTTTTGCTTTCCAAATAAAGATTTCTTGATCCAAATTATATACTATTTTTCATGCGTGGTGTACAAGTGTTAATGCATATAAAAATTAGGTCAAAATACAACAAAAATTGTATTGTGTAATGATGATTTTTTTTCCTTCTCAATTAGTGTAACAATCGCTCATTTCTTCATATCTTATAACCATTTTGACAAGTTGTTAAGTTATATTTAATTTCGGATGATGTGGAAAATGTCACATCAAAATCAACCGATGCCACCAAAGGGTCAAAACCAATGCAGCAGTATTCGGGTTAGCACGGTAGAGTCCCTCCTCCTATGATATTAAGGGTTCATACCTGGCCAAATGTGAAAAATATGTGTGAGTATTTGCCGTATATAAATATTATATACTTCAAAAAAATCAAGCGATGCCACATGGTTGTAAACAGGTAAAATACGTACGAAAGAAAAAGAATTAAACTTTTGCTAAATTAACTAAAAAATCACTGTTACATTAAATAGAAATCAAAACAAACTTTATTACATTTTTATCCATTTTACCCTAAAATTAAAATATGTGTGTGTATATATATATATATAGGGTTGGGTTCACGTGAGACCCTAAGACCAATTTATGTTAATTGATCAACTTTATAAGCTAATGATCTAATGGTCTAAAGTCGCACGGTGGCAATTTTGTGATTATTGAGAAGTCTCGTGGCGTTTATGAATGTTCAGATTGTCATATTGTAGATCTAATCCAAGGGTTGAGAATTGGTGGGTCTCATGAAAAACCTTTGGTCTCACATGATCCCAAGTCTCTATATATATATATGTATGTATATGTATATATATATGTATGTATGTATATGTATGTATATGTATATATATATATGTATGTATGTACTTGAGATCACGTGAGACCAGCATGTTTTCGTGAGACCCGTGAGATCACTTTTTTACACTTAAGACTTCACAACAAAATGCTTTGAAAGTAACATTCACAGTGTTTTTGCTGTGAAGGTTCGGCTTTCTCAGTGTTTTTGCTGTGAAGGTTCGCTTTTTTTTTACCTTTACAGTGTTTTGTTGTGAAGTTTCAAGTGTAAAAAGATGGTTTCACGGGTTTCATGAAAACATGTTAGTCTCACATGAACCCAATCCTGTATATATATATATATATATATGTGTGTGTGTGTGTGTGTGTTATGTGTGTGTGTGAGAGAGAGAGAGAGAGAAATAAATTTGTGACCCTTAGCATTTTGCAAGGTCCATATAACACAAGGAGATCACGAGGGAAAAGCAGTGATAGTGTCGTGGGTGACGGCAGATGAACCCGGTTCAAGCACGGTTATTTATTGGCCTGAAGATGGCACCCAAAAAGACCAAGCCACAGGCCAAATCACCACTTACAACTACTACAACTACACCTCTGGTTACATCCATCATTGCACCATCAAAAATTTAGAGGTCAGGGTTCAATTCCTCTTTATAATATTCCTTTTTTATTTTTAATATTTATATGATACGTTTATTAACAACTCCTTAATAAAATTCTCGCAGTATAACACCAAGTATTATTACGAGGTCGGGATCGGACATACCACAAGGACATTTTGGTTTGTGACACCTCCGGAGGTCGGCCCTGACGTGCCCTACACTTTTGGAATCATCGGTATGTGATTGAAGTATTCGGGACCAGTTCAAATAAGAAAGATAAGTATCGTGAAAAAAGTAAGAAGTTAATGTTATGGAAGGTTCATATGTGAATCCAATTGAAAAAAATCTATTTAAAGATGCATATGTGAACTGAAGTTACAGATTATTCATATAGGTTCACATATGCACCTTCAAATGGATTTTTTAAATAATTCATATATGAATTTTCCTTTAACTTTCCCTTCTTACCTTATAACAATATTTAACATTCTTCTTTCCCTCGTCTTTTACTTTTCATTCACATGTTTGTACGTGTAACGGGTCTTCTAAAAAATAGACGCTCTACCTTTTGGGGGTGGATGCGAGTTTGCGTACAGCTCACCTCTCCCGTTTTTGAGTGAAGTATATATATATATATATATATATATATATATATATATATATATATAGGGGTCCATTCAATGGAGAACTGATTAGTTTGTGGTAACTGTGAGAACCAATGTGAGCCACAAATCAACGGATAAATAAGGAAATTAGTAATTATGGTATTTTAAGTTAAAATTATAATTAGAGGRCATTTTAGGTATTTTTAAAAAACTCATCTCTCCTCTCTCCGACCTCCAATCTCAGGCCTCCGTCCTCCGTCCAACATTATTCCGGTAGGTACCAATTAATCACAAAGATACACAATGTGATACTCATTGTGATATACTGTGATACCATTGTGATACACTATGTTACATTGTGATAGTGTATAGGAGACATACCCTTGACTAGAGATGGCCAAATGGGCCCGGCCCGGCCCGTAACCGACGGAGGACCGGGACCGGGACCGGTGAGGGACCGGGACCGGTAGGGACCGGTTGAGGGACCGTCGGTTATGATCCAGTTAGGGTTTTTGACCTTTTTTGGGACCGGGACCGGTTAAGACCGGGACCGGTTATGTAACCGGTTATAGGCCCGGCCCGGCCCGGTCAACGAAAGTCAACGAAACGTATATATATAATAAATCGTATTTTTATTGTGTATTTTTAAACGTATTTACAACAAAACGTATTTATAAACGTATATATATATATATATTACAAAACGT